ATGCTGCAGGTCAGCATGAGTTTCCACTCAAAGCAATGCTGCAGGTCAGCATGAGTTTCCACTCCAAGCAATGCTGCAGGTCGGAGGTTTCCACTCGAAGCAACGCTGCAGGTCGGAATGGGTTTCCAGGGTGTGACTCTGTAGCAGATGGTCACATCTGTCTCCCCTGGTACGTTCAGAGAGGTTCCGGAGCACCTTATTATAATAGTAACTTTCACTTATTCCACATTCACGACTTGCAAGACACTGTGATAAGCTCTTTACAAATATTATCCCCTTAACATAGTAATCCTACAAAGAAGGCGCTATTCACTATTTTTATCACTAAGGAAATTAAACCTCACAAAACATGTTTAGTAACTTATCTGAGGTCATATCACTAAACAAAATAGTCTGCATATCCAACGTTTATGCCTTTTCCACGTTCATTTTGTTTTGTTTCTTAATCACCAAATGAGTTTGAGATGAACATTACCATGTAACAAATTCTTGCCAGTGCATGTAACCAGTAAGTACATATAACTGTAGTTGGAGTGCCATGTCCATTGAATCTCCATGTACCACTAACCATTGAAAATAATCACAGAAAAGTGGGTGAAGGGAGACAGTGGTTGGTGTAAGACATGAAAAAAAAGTTATAAATTATCAAGGGTTCATGAGGAAGGGGAGGTATGGGGTTGGGGAAGAGGAGCTGATACCAACGGCTCAAGTAGAAAGAAAATGTTTTGAAAATGATGATGGCAACATACGTACAAATGTGCTTGACACAGTGGATGGATGGATTGTGATAAGAGCTGTAAAAGCCCCCAATAAAATGATTTTTTTTTAAAGAAAATAGTCAATCAGCCATAATATTCTGCTCCCTGTTTATCTGCTTGCTGCTCAGTTGAATGACGAAGAAAAGATGAGCCCAGGGTTTGTTTCTCATGCCTAGAATACAGAATCCCGGAAGCTCCACACCCTATATCTTAGCGCGACCACAGCAGCTACCTGATGATAGTAATAACCCCTACTTTGGGAACTGTCAGCCCAAAGTAAAGGAACTGCCTTTTGCCCGAGAACCATTTGCCTGATCATGCACTGAGGTTGCAGTGGTGTTTGGCAAGAGCGAGAGGGAATTAGACTAAACCTTCAGCTCCGCCTTCCAATAGTTCGTTTGTGCCAATTACTCTTTCTGAGTCTCAGCCCTCTCCCTTCTCAGGTAAAATAAAGAACAATTAAATAAAATAGAACTCGCGAACATTCCAAACACACAGTAGGTATGCCATTAGGTTGGCTTAAATATACTTTTGATAAATGAAATCTGATGCTAACTCTATGCAGCTTGAAAACGGAAAATTCTCCAATCTCTCTCCGTTGGTAGAAGACTTAGAAAATGCTCAACACACTGGGCTTTGGCGAGTCATTCCTAAGTATTGTCAGACTGGGCAGGGTCTTGATAGAGACAGATCCCAAGAAGCAAGCACCATGCAGGGTTCACGAAGAAGCAAGCTGCCTATGGAAAAGTGGTTTCAACGACCTGATGTTTAAAAAGAAAATTGCTTTCCTCATTACTGCCATGGAACTTATAGAGCTTCAACGTTCAGCCTTCCCTTTTATTTCAAGTGGTGCTGCTACCTTCAAGGTCAGCAGGTGGAATCCACTAGTTGCCCAAAGGAAGGAAAATAAGGCTTTTCTACTCGCATAAAGATTTAGAACCAAAAAAAAGAAAAAGATTTAGAACCTTAGAAACCCAAAGGGGGCAGTTCTGATCTGTGTTAAAATCTCGCTGTCAGTTGGAATGACCTGAACAGTGGCAGCACCTTGGTTTTACACACCTACTGGACGAACCCTGGGGGCAAAGTGTGCTTCAGCACTAACGAAAAGAGGTTGGAAGCGCCCAGGCTCTCCTCGGGAGAAGATGTGGCAGTCTGCTGTGGAAAGAGTACAGCCTTGGAAACTCTGTGGGGCAGCTCTGCTCCTCAAGGGCCTCAAACCATCTTCCTTTGGGATGTTCTTTGAGGTTGGAGACAAAAAGAAGTCTGAAGGTGAAAGATCAGGGATATAGAGTGGAGAGGGTAAGGTTTCCCAGTGAAATTCTCAGAGGACAGCCCTTATTACACTCAAAGAATGAGCAGGTACAAAAAATTCCTTGGTGTAACTTTCCTGGCTTTTTAAAATCAACAATACAATTTTCTATTTTCTTAAAGCCTCTTCCTAAGAAGACCCCCTGATGGGCCTTTGTCTTTTGAGAAAATGCATCAGGATCACCCCCTTTTGGAGTTTCAAATACAGTCATCATAACAATCTGAGCTGACCTCTGGTCTTTGAATTGAACTGATCCTCTCAGAAACCATGGTTGGGATAGGACGCCCTAGTGAGACTGACAAAGGTGAACTTGTCTAGAGCCATCCCCTGATTACAAAGACAAGTTAGAATAAGCCTCTGTATGAATAAGAGGGACTTTAGTAGAGATATGTTTTTTTTAACTTACCTTCACGTAGGAACGGCATACTCATGTGACAAAATGGCTGTGTAGGTAGCCAGGGATGGTAGGGGAAAAATTTATTCAAATTGAATACAAAAGACAGCTAAGTGATAAGAACTATTTAAAATGCTGAGAAGCAAGAATGTTACTTTGAGAACAGAAGTGTACTTATCCCAAGTCAAGTATTTTCTGTCACCACCTATGCATGTGAACACTGGATATTGAATAAGCAAGGCCAAAGAAGAATGGATGCATTTGAATGATTCAAGTAAGAATGGAATTTAGCCATAATGACGAGGACTTCTAAATGTGTAGTGAGAGGAGGGCGTGGGAGGAGTTGATTGCCAACCCCATAACTGAGGATGCCTTACCCCTAAAGGTAGCCTACAAAATAAGTGGGCTGATATGCCACTGATCCATTCACAGGAAGTTAGGAAGAAAAAGGCTGGCGAAAGAAAGCTTGTTAAGCAAGGAGAAATTACATGGAGAACTACAATCACAACCTTTACCTAAGTAGGCTGATATTTTGGAATGATGAAGAATATAAGGGTAAAAAATTTATAGTATAACAAATGGTTGAGAGATCTAAATTGAAACCTGATTTGTATGCATCCCCGGGAGAGATGAAGCTGGTACCTTTGTCATCCTAGCTTCACCATGTGTGGTCTAAGGATCTCTGGTAGCATAATGGGTTGCATATTGGACTGCCAACCACAAGGTCAGGAGTTCAAATCCACCGTCCACTCTGGGAGGAAAAGATGTGGTGGCTTTCTGTTCCCAGAAGCAGTTATAGTCTGGAAATCCCACCAGGGCAATTCTACCATGTCCTGTTGGGTTCCTAGGGATCCACTCAATGGTAGTGAGTTTGCTTTGGGGGAGTTGATTTTGGTGTGTGGTCCTCAGTTCTCATATTTACTAAATGGATATAAATGATACCTATTTCAACTGGCATAATGTATGAGAAATATCCAATACAAGGCTTACACTATAGTAGAGTCCCTAATAGTACCCGTTGTCAATGGTGACGTAGGCTGCAATGAAAGGTCAGATGCTACCAAGTGGGAAACGAATGCTGTGTCATTCCCGTTTCCCATTTTCCCACTCAACCCTGGTCTCTGCCTGCCCCATCACACACACGTACAGACACTAGGATACTCTCTGAGGTGGTCTTCATAGAAAGGAAAGCCTGCTAACCGCCACCCCAGATGTTCTGGAGCACCCGCCTCCCTATGAGTGGAGGTGTTGCATTTACATGCACACATGGGGCCTACATCTGAAATCAGAACTTACAGCACCGAGGACCACCTGCAGTGTCTCAACTTTTGTTTAAAATTCCTCAAAGTACACCACTTTTTTCCTGTAAATTCTATCAGGGTCCTTAAAATTGTTCTACATCAGAATTTCCTGGAGTCTTCCTTTTTAAAAAATACTACTAAGATTCACCCCCACTGAAGGTTAGGTATGTAGCATTCTAGAAGTTCCAGGGGTGATGCTAAGGTACTAATCCCAATGAGGTCCATGGCCCACAACACTGAATCGTTTGGACACTTGTTCAAAATGGAGACTCTCAGGTCCAACCTCAGACTGAACCAGACTCTGAATTTACGTAAGATCCCTGGGGTGATTGCTTCATAATCGCATCACAGTTTGAGAAACACTGGTCTATCAGCAATTTTCATCACTAGTCACAGAATATCATCACCAAGAGGATTTTGAAAAGTGAAAATGGTTGGTCTCTACCTCTGGAAGATTTTATTTGAATTGGTCTGAGGAGTATCCGTACTTACAAAAAAATCCCTAGGTGCATCATCTGTGCAGCTAGGCCTGAGAATCAGAACGCCACTGGGGCAGGTTGGGTCTCTACCAGGAATGCCTTCATGAGGAGTGCTATGGGAAAATGAATTCTAACAGCATTCTGTTTCTTCAGACCTGAGGTACAAATAAAAGATTTGGTGTGTCTAGTATGGTAGATTCTAACAATGCATTTAAGAAAGGTCTGTTTAAATATATTTCTTTTTATAAACACGCGTGTAAATTTCTATTTTCTATTTTCCTCCTTGTTGCAACTGTGTTTTTTTTATACCTCTTTTGTTTGAGCAAAGACAATAAATAAACTGGGATATGCTAGTCACAGGGGCATGACTCATTGTCTGCTCCTACTCAGTGGTCAATAATTCTAAGTACTCATATTAAAACAAACACGGAGATAGCATTGAGTAGCATATTCACTGCTTGTAAAATTTAAAGGTAAAACACAAGACTCCAAGGAAATGTTGCGCTTTTTTGTGGGTACTTGGGGGTATGCCCAAGACCCCCTAGCAGAATGGATTTACTCGCCCTCTGCCCTTGAGACCAGTTTAAAGGAATCGTTTGATGAGCACTGAACCAGTGGAATGATCTGAAATGTGACACCCTTAGTTGACTTGGTTTCAAATCCACCATCTCTTGGAAACTCCAGCATTTGTCACTTCAAGTCCAGCCAAGGGTCAGACGCAGTCTCATGTATAGCAGCTAAAATAAATTTTAAAAGCCATTTTGGGGGTTCACTTAACTTTATTCACATGATAGCTGTAGAGGCTGTCAGAAACTCCCTCTGACGGGTCTTTCTTCCGGCAGGCTGATTGAGAGTTTAGTTGCAGACAGTGTGGGCTGAAGGGATGGGTGGTGAGATCAGGGGTTTGTTACAATCCTGTGTCATCATGGATCCTGTTTAATTTTAACCTTGTGACTTGTCTAATGCCTTTGCAGTAAGAAGTGGGGGATAAATCTAACCCTCACATGGCAGCCCTGGAGAACATCATCTTTTTCAAATACACTATGCTATCATTGGGGCACTCAGACATCGCGAGCGCAGGTCAAAGGTGCCCCCCAGTGTACTGGAAGGCACCCCAGGAGAGGCAGAGGGTCTCAGGCCATCCCAGCAGGCAGCTCCGGAGCCTTGGAGTCAATCCCAGGAGCTCGGCATGGCTTCTCAGTACTGATAGGACCTCACAAGGAGCCACATAAGGAGCACGGTAATCAGAACCACGGTGAAGTTGAGGAACAGCTCCTGGGTGGATCGCTCCATCCTCCACAACGACTCAGGGCAACTGGAGGCAGACTTCTGAGGGCACGCCAAAGACGCCGGCTGGTCCTCGCCTCCTGATGAAAAAGAACAGAGGAACGGAGTCAGGAGCATGGCTCATCGTGGAAGAGAGGAGCCCGGCTTCCCTGCCAGTGCCGAAAGTCCTCCTTTTTTTCCTGTGATGAATGTGTTTGTGGTGGTGGTGGTTTATATTTGTACTGTGAAGAAATGCATGAACAAGCGATTTTCCATTTCCATCAAGTTGACATGCACAACTCAATGACATTGATTCTATTCCTTATGTGCAACCATCACCCTATCACAATTCCCCTCACCCTTAACGGAAACTCAATATCCCTTAAGCCAAGGGTGTCAAACTGGCCGCATGGGACCCCCGAGGTAAAGTGTTTGTAGCCCGCAATGCTCTGAAATAAAATGAAAATAGAAAACATTGTTATGAAGAAAATAGCGCTTAGGGGAGATGGAGGCAATACCGTGCACACAATTCCCTCATTAACCCTTTAACTACTGAAGACGAGCCTACACGTGGCCCAGGGCCTTTCCCCGGGGCCTGTGGACGTGTCTAAATGCGCTGCCTCCGTTCCGGCGACGTCTGGAAGCCATGTGTCTGCCACGCTCAGCGTCACGTCATGCAAACAGACCCCAACAGCGAGCAGGTTAGAAAGGGCACTCCGGGTTGTGCTGTTAGGAATCAGACTTAGCGGCAGCGCTAGTTAACATTTGTAGAGGGAAGCCATTATGATTGTGTATCATGTTTGTCAGCTGTCCAACTTGTTGTGTTTTTCATTAGTTACTTTGTTATATTTTCCGGTCACAACGTCAGAGGTATGTGAAAACTAGTAGGAGGAAAGCGCTGGAAAGTTTCGGGTAAAAAAGAATAACTTTAGTTTTATAAATACATTAAATAAAATAAATGTTTAAATAAAAGCAATTATATAGTGTTTTAATTATCCTATCCATATTGCTGAATCCTCGCTTCAAAACATAAATTTAACAAAATTTGTAAATGTGATGTGGCCTGCATCAATCTTGCCTGTTGCACCAAATGGCCCGCGTTTTAATTGTTTGACACCCCTGCTTTAAGCAATACCTCTCCACCTCCCTGTTGATTGTCTTGATGCTTTGAATAAAATACAGAATAGTATCATTCCCTCCCCTGTGTCTGTGTGTGCGTGTGTGCTCATAGGAACAGCCCGAGGAAGGTGCTATGGTTAATATTATTCTTGTTCTGAATTATATTTGGAAGTAGGATGCCACAGTCCTTCAGGGCTAGGGTTACCATAGGTCTTCATCTAACCCTGGTGAAAGTACAAAGTCGACTCAACAGCTGTTTGGCCGCTTACAGGTCCTGCAGTGGGCACAGGGCCCACTGGGGTCAACCAAAGTCCCTCACATAGCAGGCACTCAGCCCAAAAGAACAAGTGCTAAACTCATGTGTACTTCTATTTCAACAAGGGCTTGTGCCAGCTATTTTTAGGCAAGTCCAGGATGTGCCTGGATTGTAAACACTTCAAAGAGCAGAGATGGTGCCTCCATCGTGTGTACACCGAATACACACAGGAAATCATACTTTTAGAACCTATGCCACACAGTCCATCAAAATAGAATTAGGTTGCTGGGGCACAGTATATTTAACTTTGTAACTTTGCTTCTGAAAGTTAAATGGGAGTAAACATTAAAGAAACTATTTTACATATTCAGGACAAAAGATCCACTATTGAGTGAAATTAATTAGGGTGATATAATAATTTGTTTGCATCCTAAGAAAACGTGTTGCGGGATATTGGGTGGGTTATTAGCAGGTTTTCAGGCCAAGTATTATCATGTCATTATAAAATTTGACTGAAGTATCATTTTAATGAGCCCTAGTGGCATAGTTGTTACAAGTTGCGCTGTGATCCACAGGCAGCAGTTAGAAACCACCACCTTTGGGAGAAAGAAGATGCTTTGTAGCTCCCATAAGGAATTACATTCTCAGAAGCTCACAGGGGCAGCTCCCCCCTGTCCTATAGGGTCACGATGAGTTATCCAACAGGTACAGAAGTCCAAATCAGTAGACTACAGAATCTTATTTTAAAATAAGGTCAAAGAAGGTGAATTTTTAAAATTTTCCTTGTAATTCTTAAGCATCTTCTGGCCCTCAGGTGGAAGGAAATTGGTGGATTGCCAATGAAAATATTCACAAATTGAGGAGGGAGTTAATAGCAGAAAATGGATAGATAAAGGAAGAAGAGAGGAAGAAGGTGGAAGAAGGAATACAGAATGAGAGGGGAGCAAGAAGGTGAAAGCCCAGCAGAAAGCTAATGTGGCATTGTGGGTTAGGCTGCCCACTGCAGCATCTGCGGGAGAAAGGTCGGGTTAGCTGCTGTGGTAGAGGTTCACAGTCTCAGAACTCTACATAGGATCACTGTGAGTCAGAGTTGATTCCATGGCAGTAGATTTGTTTGATTATTATTTTTTTTAATTCAAGACATATAGACCTATGCAGAAAATGTAGACCCTATTTATAAGGATTCAACCCATCCAGTTCAGGGTGGGCAATTAACCATCCCATCAAATCTGTTTATTAGATGAAGATTTTAAATGAAGAAAGTCATGGATCCAACAAGAATATGCTCAGAGAGTGGAGACATGTAATGAAACGGTTCCACTGTTGAGCTCATGTGACCTTCATAACAATGCTCACCTTCACAAAGTATGATGATTTTTATTTTTCCCACTCTCCAAGACCCTGACTTTTAGAGAGTGTAGGCTCTTTGTGTATTGACACTTACCAATCAGAGACAGAGCTAGAATTGGCAGACTGGAATGAGTTGTTAGAATTGTGGCCACATCATAGTTGGGATTATACAGGAATGAGTTAATAGTACAATTCATTGGCTTTGCTAAACACAGTTAGTGTAAATTTTCAACCACAGCAATTTCACTTTTACTCTGAAAACTCAAGTATATGTACATGGGGATATGGGTATAAAAATTTCCATAGCAACAGTTTCACAATAGCTCCTATATGGAAACAACTCAAGTGTTCCTAAACTAGAATGGATGATGATTTGTGGTACTGTATCCATACACTGGAATACCTCAGGTGAGCTTTGGTGGCATAGTGGATGACACATTGAACTGCTAACTGTAAGGTCAGTGGTTCGAACTCATCACTTGTTCTGTGGGAGGTAAATGAGGCTGTCTGCTCCCATTAAGTTTTAAAGTCTTGGAAAACCAAAAGAACAGTTCACTCTGTCTTGTTAGGTTGCAAAATATAGTGGCATCAACTCAATAGCAATGAGTACAGTTAGACTCAACAAGAGGAGTGGGTCTCACAAATATAATGTTGGACAAAAGAAAACTTCATCAAAACCAAGACCAGACTCACTGTCCTCGAGTCGATTCTGACTTAGAGTGACTCCGACTCAACGGGAGATGAAAGGACAAAGAGAACTGACTCTGTGTTTCAGAGACACTAAGTCTGTATGAGAGCTGACAGCCTCCTCTTTCTCCCTCTGAGCAACTGCTGGGTTCAAACCACTGACTTTGCTGTTGGCAGCTTAGTGAGTAACTCACAATGCCACCAGGGCTCCTTTTTCACAAAAACATCTCGATTTCATTTAAGTCAAAAACAGGAAATGTGATGATAATGTTTATGGATGCAGATAGGAAATCAAGGACAATGCTATTTCAACAATGAAGATGGGGGGATCCCCGGAGCAGGTGATCAGAGATGGGTGTCCAAGGTCCAGAGGAATTATGTTTCTTGACCAGGTTTTGCTTAGTAATTATCAACAAACTTCCTGTGCTTTTATGCACTCTTCAAAAAAAAAATTCAGATTGTCTTTAAGTTGGCCAGCTAAGGTTTACCTCTTACTAGTCTTTGTACTTTGATGGTGAGCTTGCAATATTTGTTGTTCAATATATTTTTAATGAATAAAACATTTTTATTGTTTTATAAGTTAATGGAACCATTTCTTAAGGATTAGTTTCAAAGTAGCACAAATGCTGTAGCTATAGGGTATGGACTTTACTTCCACACATATTTATACCCTGAAGGAAGAATGAACAAATGAAGCAGAATTTCAGAGCAGCAAATTTCCACTTTCCACTGCTAACCTACAAAGGTAGTTTTGCTCCCATTTTGAACTTTCCCTAGAGTCTCATTCACACCATGTGATCTAAATCGATTGCCATATACATGAAATCAAAGCCCCCAACCCCCCCCCCAATCATTTACACAAGAAGTTTCACATTGACCTACTTTGAATGGAATATAGACTTTCTTCTATGATATGAAAATACTACTTTTAAAAAGTACAGAAAGAACTAGGAAGGGATAAAAATGCATACCAGGAGAAGCATGAACTGATAACATCCACTTTACATCTTAAGAAATACTATGTACGTGGGCATTTCCTATTTCATTAAGAAATGTAAACATTCCTCTACCTTTCTCTATTGCAGCTTATACACACAGACACACACACACACACACAAACACACAACACACACACACAGTACACTCATCATAAACATGCTGCTGTGAATCAAAAGGGTCAAGGACGCACCCTGACTGTAGTGGGCGTCTCCTCTCTCCAACTCGCGCTGCACCGCCTGCTCTCCTCCCAGCTGTCTGGACTCCTGGTCTCTGGGCAGATCCTAAAGTAGTCCGAGGAAAGCGGCATCACTCTGATGTCACTGATCAACTATCTCCAAGGATGGACCTCCAACGGTTGGAGGCTGTTTGACTGTAGGAGCTGTGGAAATAGATTGACGACCACTTTCTTCCTTTGGCTACCGATTTGTCTTAACATAACAAAGACTTAAGAACCTTGTTTCCACTTGACTTTTGGTGGATTTGATGTGGGGTTTAAAATGATCTTTTACATCTTCCTCAATGGCTGTAATATGCCTTTTAAACCTCACAAATCAAGAGACAGATAGTCTATTAGTAAATTGACCCTCTGTTTGGCTGCTTTATCTACTGCTCGTGGAAGACTGTGAAAGTTTTACTTCACCACTCACGTCTCTAGCTGTTTGAAATTTATAAAGAGGTCTCTCTCCTTAGTGCACATGTGTACGTACACATACCAGAAATCAGAAAGCATCCTAAGCTCTTTCAAAACTGACCTGAGTCTCAGTAGTGAAAGTCATTCTCTCACACTTCTGGTTTGCATAAGTTTCCAGCTAAGATGTGTGTTGCAAAGGTGCAGGTTACTCTACAGCTCCTTCTGAATCAGCTGAAGGAGCTGTTAGTTTATCTCTGTCAGTAAACCAGCACAACAGTAAAGACACACAGCAAAGCTCATTTTTTCAGATAGACAGCTTGGGAGTAGAAAGAAAGCTAATCAAAATTTGTGAAAATATGAATTTCAGAATATATGGGAATGAAATAGAACTTTAGAACTGCCATTTATAAAAGCAGGCTGAAACAAGGCTGTAAAGACACGTTTGTAATCACCCTACCAGATGTTTGAGAGTAAATGGAGATTCTGAAGTGTTTCATTGGATCTGAGAGCAAATCCATTAAGCACGTTAAACTTGCCCCCTGCGATGGTATTCGCTCGGGAAATCGTTCCTTTAAGATAATAGAGTAAATCTCCCTTTCAACTTCCAGCTAAGATGAATCAAAACCGTGCATTGACAAAAGACATAAACAAATGAAGTTCTCCGTATAGTTGTACTCATAGTAAAACCATTCCCACTGTCCTTCTTACCCCCACGGAAATGACTGCAGGAAGGATTTTCCATATCATTTCAACACACCCAATGATGGGGAACCTTAATACAGCATTCTGTCACCACTTGCCTTGTAAAGAGATAGCTTGCTGAAGTGACAGATAGTGTATAATAATTATAGCACAATCGAACATTGGCAGCTACTTCTTGCCATCTGGCAAACTCCTTGAATGTAGTCAGATTTCTGTCTTTCCCTCCAAGCACTTACCAGATTGCTCCAAGTGCTAGAAATGTTTTCCAAGTCACCACAGCACACCTGTTCCTTTTTGTTTTTTTTAACCACTTCAAATTATTTTGCCAATTAAAAAGTTACATATTTACAGTTACAAGTTTCAAAGCGTGTAAAAGTATACAGAAGGGGATTATAATTACATTTAACCTCACTACCCAGGAAAATGATTTTGCTTTTACTCAGATGTTGGGATTGAATAGATATGAGGGAGTGTCAAAAAGTTCATGGGAAAAAGTCGTTATCTTTTAATTCCATTTTTTCATGAATTTACTAAAGCCCCCTCATATAATCCCAAACAGAACCAAGATCTTTTTGTTTCTTATACTTGAAAAAATAATTGGGGGGCTCATGTGGAATCAAATTATTTATATTATGCCTTGGATTGGTAATGCATTTATGGAACAAGTATTTATTTTATACATGTTAATTATTAATCAGCTCTGTAATATTTTAAATGTTAAGTACAATGGGGAAATGTTAACATATCACTAAAATGACTAGCCAGTACTGCCAATTTAGTTGGACTGGTGAGTTTCCATGTAACTTGGAGGGAAAAGAACATACTGCATTTTGAATGGGCGTGACATGCCATTTTTCCTACCACACTGTCTTTTCAAAGCATGCCCAACATTGTTGCAGGGACCAAGGGTTGACACATTTCTTGATGCTTGGCAACAGCCTTCAGGAACTCCTGTACTTCAGTGGTTTGTCCTGTGGTGTCACAGGAGTGTGGGATTACACTCAGGATTTAGTTTATCATTAGTTTGACTTAACCGTCCTCTCCTGAAAAAAGTACCAGTCATCTGATGATGATCCAAAGGCCTATGGAAAGTTGAATCCTGAGGATCTGCAGGTCCATTTTGGAAAAATCAATCTTACTGCTTCTCATGTGAGAAGCTGAGAGTGACAAGATTTCAAACACGATTTGATCCGCTTCAAAAGAGAGTCATCCCTTATGATTAGCCATACCTAATTCTGTTGATGCATCCTTCCTGTGAGCAATTCCCGTGATTTAGCAGCATCCATTCCAAATCTCAGGTGCTTTTCTGCTCATCAGCAGGACACACTAAATAATCTTTGACATTATTTCTATGCCTGTTGATCCAGGACAGCCAAGAGCTAAAAATGTCAAGAAAACAACATTGACATTAACACTGAAGAGCTAATTGGCACTTAGCACAACATATACATTCTCAGGTGTAAAATATGACACCCATTGGGAATCATTGCGGGGCTTTTGTACCTGATTATGAGCTAAATTAGCTTTTTAACATGTACTCTTCTGGTCCGGCGGCAATTTTACTTTGGAAGCAGAAATTAACTCTATAGTCTGCGACATGATGAGAGAGATCAGCAGGAAGGCCCTGGTGAAAGGCATTAAGCTCTTAGCACATCACGTGTTGAGTGAGCTCACCACTTGCCTTTTCCACCCACACATCTTCACATCCGGCTGGTGGTAGAGCTTTCGAGAAAGGAAAGAGGTTGCTCTGCTCTCCTCTCTCACCGTGTGAAACGAGTAAGTACAAGTCCCCAAACCAAGATGTAGCTCTACTTAGTGAAGCTCTCTCCAGGTCACCGTTGCCACATGACCACCTAAGTCCTGCCCGTCTGGCCCCAAGGAAACCCATGAGCATGGATTGCGGATACAAGCAGTCAACTTTCTGCATCTCCGTTTTCTCATCTATAATGTGGAAATATTAACAATTCTGTTGGAGATTTGTGGTCAGAGAACGTAAAAGTGCCAAGCACAGAGCCTGAATAACCCACAAGCTCATGTCCAATACATTCGTTTGTCTTTCTTTCGTAATATTTCTTTAAATGGCAAGGAGTTTCTTTTGCTTGGACCAAAGCAGAACTTCTTTTTAAGTGTATGACCCAAGGAGAAGGAAGGGAGTTCCACTTCGTACAGAAATCCTCTGAGACAAGCTTAAGTGTGAGGGGTCTAGGGAATTAAAGGAAAGTGGCTTCCCTGACCCTCTCTCTGGCCAACATCATGTACTGCAGATGACGCCTACGTCACGATAGAGCAGGAGGGAAGGACCACTGAAGGCAAACATTACCTCCTCCAGCCCTACTCAAGTAACGAGTCTTGAGTGAACACTACTCCACGAAAGTCCTTGTTCCAGGTGTCCAAACAAAGCAAAGGAACAGACACGGGGTTGATTCTGACTCACAGTAACCCCAGAAAGAACTGCGCTATAGGATTTTCCAGGCAATGACCTTTCAGAGTCAAAAACTAGACCTTGCTTCTGAGGTGCCCCTGTGTGGACTTGAACTGCCAACTTTTTGGTTTGTAGTCACAATTTAACTGCTTGCTTCACCTAGGGACCCATTCCGGGAATTTGTGGTTGTTGCTGGGTGCCATCGAGCTGGCGTCAACTCATAGCAAACTCAGGTACCATGGAACAAAACACCACCCAGGATGGCACCACCCTCACAAGTTTTCTTCTGTTTGATCCTATCATATAGGTGGTTCTTTTTAAAAATTATTTATTTAGGCCTTTAATTTGAGAACTTAGAGACAAGTGTTCATTGTAGAATTCAGAGGCAAAGACAGATACCCCCAAATCATTGTTCTACTCCAACTTGTTAGGTCAGATCCACTAAGCTCAGAGCACACTGTATGCTTCTATACAGGTGGGCTAGGAACTGGCTTCACTGAATCCAAGGTCTGGTTCAAGAACATTCATGGCTTCCTCAAGTTCCAGCATTCCTTTTTCTTGTCGCTGGCGGTGCCACTGGGCCAGAGACTCGAGCATCCACTTGGCCCGTAACTTGTGCAAGTAGGAGCCATAGATCACAATCTTGGTCGAGTTAGAGGATTCCAGAAGCTTCAGCTTGAGCATAGTCTTGTTCACTTGCTCAAGGCATGGGGTTCGAGATTCATTGGGGCTAAATATGGTTACCAGCTGCCACGTCGGAACCTGAAACACCTTGGGATCTCTTAAATTGTCGGGAGATCTCTTAAATTGTTGGGAGACTTGATCCACAGTGGGATATCTTTCCGCTCTGGGCATGCTCCCATCTTGAGTTCATATAGGTGGGTCTATAGCAGTGGTTCTCACCCTTCCTAATGCCACGACCCTTTAATACAGTTCCTTATGTTGTGGAGGCCCCTTGTGTGAGCGTATCTCCATGTGGGTGGACCTGCTTGGAGATGGATAGAGGAGCAGTGTCTCGGTTCCTAAGACCATCGGAAATATGGTCTTAGGTGACCCCTGTGAAAGGGTCATTTGACCCCCAAAGGAGTCGTGACCCCCAGGTTAAGAACCGCTGGTATAGTTGCATCCACTGTGTCGATCCATCTTGTTGAGAGCCTTCTTCTTTTCTGCTGCCCCTCTACTTCACCAATCATGATGGCTTTCTCCAGGGCCTGGCATCCCTGATAGACAATATGCCCAAAGTTCATGAGATCAAGGCTCACTATTCTTACCATTAAGGAGCACTCTAGCCTTACTCCTTCCAAGATAGATTGGTTTGTCCTTTTAGCAGTCCATGGTACTTCAATATTCTTCTCCAACACCACAATTCATATACATTGATTCTTCTTCAATCTTCTTTATTCAATGTCCAACTTTTATATGAGGCTATTGGAAATACCATGACTTGGATCAAGAGCACCTTAGTCCTCAAAGTAGCATCTTTG